GCACACACACACACAAGCACACGCACACGCGCATGCACACATACATACGATCACATACGCACGCACACACACACACGCACACAAACCTTGAGATTGCTCAGCACTTCGATGCCCTTGAGCTTTTCAATGTTGTTGTATGAAATCCACAACTCCTCCAGCGTTTTGCTCACAGGCTCCTGATTAGCAGTAACAGCGGTATTGGGGCAGCGGATCAGATGCGCGCAACACGCAGCAGTGAGCACAAGACACACTTTGGCCACACACCACAACATGCGTACAACTAAACTACTCATGACGCGCGGAAGAGCAACACGACGCAACAGCACAACTCGAGGTGCGTTGCAGGAGCGTACCAGGCCGGCCAAGCTTTTGATGTTGTTGCGGCCCAGAGACAGGATGCGCAAGTTGTTGAAGCCGTTGAGGTTGGCAATCTTCTCGATGCAGTTTGTCGACAGCGATAGCTGCCTAGAGGGGAAAGGAGGGGGGTGGTATTCGCCACGTACGGAACATGAGCACGATGACTTGCGGCTGCATGTACACAGCAACACGGATGCACACCCGCAAAGCAAGGCGAGCGGGCGGAACAGCCACGGAACTCATTCCTCCTCCCTGCTCCCTCACAGTGAGTGTCTCGATCTCTCACACTCACACTCACACTCACACGTTCACACACTCACATCCATGCTCACACGCATGCACACACACACGCTCACACCACGCTCACACACGCATTCAAACTTACTGGACGTGTGACAAGGCAGAGAGGGCAGCGTCCATCTTCTCAATGGGCGGAATCTTGCCCAGCAGCTTCACCACGGTTGCATCTGCCACGGGCGTGCCCTCTTTCTCCTCCTATGTGTCCAAACACGACACGAGTAACAAACGAGTGGCACTGGGTGTCAGAGATGGCACAGAACTGTTTTGGCGAGAGTCGTGCTCGCCTGCGAGGTCGTTACTGCTACTCATTCAAACGGTGCACGCACGCACACACACACACACACACATGCACACACACACGCACACACACGCACGCACACACGCACACACACACACGCACACACACGCACGCACACACGCACACATGCACACACACGCACACACACGCACACACACACATACACGCATACGCAGAATGTTAGTGACTCCCTCCCGCAATGCACGATGCTCTCACACTCTCCCCTTCATTCCCCATTCATTCTCACCCATTGCTTGATGGCCTCCTTGATCGACGTTCCCTTCGACTGTCAAGGCACGAGGCAGAACACCACACACCAACGTAGCACCCAACACAAAAACCAGCGTGAGTAGATGGTGCGCTGAAACCAACCAACCAACCAACCAACCAACCAACGACAGCACAGCGCGGTGTGCCCCTGCCCTCACAACCTATCCCCTTTCACTGCTTGTATCCTTGTCTTCCCCTCTCCCGCACCATGTCTGTTGTTGTTGTTGGGGTTGGCTGAGCCGAGACTTGGCAACGGATACGGAAACTTGTTGAAATTATTGAGAATAATCCACCAGAACACGAACACCAACACCATGAACACCAAACACCACTAACACCACGAACATAACTTCTATCTGTCTGAGAGCCAGCAGGTGCTTGCAGCACAACACAGCAGCAAACACCATCACTGCACACACCAGCAACCACGTGAACACACACTCCGTCTCTCTCACAGTGCACAAATATGGGAGAAAAAGCTGAGGGGGGAAAAATTGAGTGGAACTGGTCAATCATGGGTCAATTAGGCGGAGCTTTGGGTGTCCTGGTGCTGTGGTTGCTCTGTATCTTGGTGCGTGTCGTTAGCCTTGTCACTGGAGGGTGTGCTCGACGCTTGTTTTGACGGTGCTGATCCTTCTTCGCTGTCATCCATCATCTGCAACCAGTCAAACAACAGCAACGGACGCAAAACAAAAAAGGCTTGTCAGCGACACGCAGTATTTCACCCACGCACAAACTAGCAGGAAACGTAAAGCAAACACGCTGCCCACATCCACGCACAATACACGCACATATACACACATACACATGCGCACGCACGCACGCATGCATACATACATTGTTAGCGTTGCTGCCACCATCAACGCCATCGTCGTTCTCGTCATCGTCGCGCAAGCGTGCACGCGCCTTGCCTCCCGCCGCCTTCTTGGCGGCCTGCGCATCATCATTCTCATCACTGGCATCATCATTGTCGTCGTCGTCGTCGTCGTCATCGCCATCATCATCGTCTTCTTCAGCGTTGTCGGTAGATGGTGCTTTGGCAGTCAAGGTGCCACACGAGGCCAGCAGAGCGCGATGCAGATTCACCGCCGAGTCCGTCCGCTCAATCGCATACGACCTCGAGTCCACGTTGCTCTCGTGCTCCACGGGCCTGTCATCATGTCCAATGTGTGCATGCACATGTACATGTGTGAGGTCGCAACACTTGACATCGGCAAGCAAACGAGCACATGAGCAACAAGCACACACACGCACACGCACACGCACACGCACACGCACACGCACACGCACACGCACACGCACACAAAACAAAAAAAATCATCGTGGCAGGAGCGTGGCAGGTCTCGCTTGCACCCCCCAATCCGCATGAACCATCCGACCCACAGCCACCTCAAGAAACAACCCCTAATCCTCCTCCACCCGCTTCCGTTCTTGTTTTGTTTTGTGCAAAGCAAGACCCACGGCACGCAGCAGCACGTACATGATGGCTGTGTGCAGCTGCATCCCAAGCCAGTTGATGACCCAGATCCAGTGCTTGCGCACGCGGTCCGAGACCAAGTACTCGCGCAGCTCGGGAAAGTTGAGCAGCGCCCACGTCAACACCTTCGCAACAAAGTACGACTTCTTGTGGAATTGCATCCTGGGTGCAGCAGAAACAAAACGACGGGAGCAATGGTGCGCGGTGGCGATGGTGGTGGTGGAGGTAGTAGTGATGGCACAAAAGGGTGTGAGACCCGTGCGCAAGCATTGTCAAGCAAAATGTTTACGGCACAACTTCACACCACAACGACACAGCATAACTTCACAGCGCATGCACGAGGCACGCACTTGCAGAAGTTGATGACACGGAAGAGGCTGACAAACTGCTCGTTGTTGCCCTGCAAACAATCAACCAACAAGCAACGGCCACGGCAGCGAGGAAAGCTGTTGGGTGAGATACCACCAACCAATCTCCGCAACGACACCCCAAGGCGCAAGGTGTGCACTCGAAAACATGCAAACACCACGGCAACAAGACGGCAACTGCAACACGCAACAACATGGCAACGTCTGCAACATGGCCAACAGCGCACCTCGCACGAGAGGCGGAAGCGGTACAGACGCATGCCGTCGTCAATCTGGAACACGCGCTGTAGGAGGTTGAGGTACGGGTGGAACTCGTAGTGGTGCAGCTCATCCACCAGCACATTCAACGTCAAAATCACCTGAGAGTGTGACGAAGTGAGGGCATTTAGCAACAAGCAGTGTGAATGATAAGAACAAGAGGGGTGGCAATTGGCTTGTTTCGTGCGCACGCAAACAACAAATCAAACCAAACCAATCAAACCAAATCAAACCAAATCAAATCAAAACAGATGAAACCAACCCAAAAGCACATCAAACAAATGAAACAAGCGAAAGAAGACATCGAAAGCCTGGACATAGAAGGAAGACATCAAAAGCCTGGACAGGGAGGCACGCTCGCATCGCATTGAACACGTACCACGTAGGAGACGTGCTGGCTGCAGAAGCAGGCATCGCACACCATGTTCATGGCGTACATGTTGCCGGCGTGCCGCTCAAGCAGCGCGCGCCAGAACGAACTGTCCGGCAGCAGCGCGCACACAGATTCAAGCAGTGGCAGCGGCTGGCTCGTGCCGCCAATCTCCTTGTCGTGCAGCAGCAGCGTCGGCGGGCTCACCCCTTGCGGCGGCTCACAGGTGCGGAGCGAAGACATGCCCATCGACCGGATCAGCACGCTCACCAGCGACACAAGCAGGCTACACACGGGAGGAGGAGGGAACAAGGCGCATGGAAAACGACATGATAATGGGGCGAGAGAGGAACACAGAAGTGAAGGGGAGAACAAGATGAGAATGAGAAATGATGTGGCAAAGGGGTGGGAGATGGTGAACCGTGTGAACACTGTACGTCCACCTTTTCTCACCAACACAACACCCGTCCGTTTGTTAACAAAAGGCGCACGTGTACGACAACTCCACTCACTCACACACTCACACACACACACTCTCACTCACTCACTCACTCACTCACTCACACACTCACTCACTCACTCACACACTCACACACACACACTCTCTCTCTCTCAAACACACACTCACACACACACTCACACACACTCTCTCTCAAACACACTCACACTCACTCACACACACACACTCTCTCTCTCTCTCTCACTCACACACTCACTCACTCACTCATATTTACACACTCTCTCTCTCTCAAACACACACGCACGCACACACACACACACAAGCGAGCACTCACTTGAAGCAGAGCGGGTTCTGCAGGCCGAGTTCACCCATGTGCTGGAGGAAAGTGAGCAGGATGGGCATCATGTCCAGGTCAATCATCAGCTGCCGGTACTGGCTGCCGAGCTTCACATACTCCAGCAGCAGCTGGAACGACTCGCCAATCTGCGAGAACTGCAGCACGCCAATCGTCTTGAGGGCCGTGTGCACAATCTTGCACGTGTGTGTGGCGAGCGGGAGGCCGACGTCGGGGCCATCCTCCAAGATGCTCGCATACACCACCTCAAACACAAACTGCGAAAACGCCTAAAGGAGGCACAACAGAAACAGACGCGGTGGCACGAGGGAAAGAAACGGGCAGACGGGCAGCATGCACACACACACACCCAAACAAACAAAACCAAGCAAATATAAATGTGAGTCGCAGAAAAGCACGAGAACGCATGCATGGCGCACCACCACCATGAACCGCAACGAGCGAACGATCTTGAATACAAAGGTGAAGAAACAATCAAACAAATCACACACGTCGAGCAGACATGCCACAAGTGCTGTGTCAAGTCACATCAGGCAGGCCAGTGGGTTGAAAGCGTACCGCACGCGCGTCGTCGTCTGGGTTGAGGATGAGGAACTTGATAAACTCTGTCTCCGACTGCAGGCGCTGCCGGGCCATTTCGCGGCAGGTGGTCGAGTGGCGCAGCAGCGGGCGCAGCGTCACCGGCCAATCATCAAGCGAGTCCCGAATCTCATCGTCCGTCCTGTGAAGAGAAAAAAACGCATTTTGGTGAGAGAAAGAGCGCGCGCAGACGAGGGTGGAGTTTGCATCACGTGTGGCCAGAATGAATCAATCATCACACATGGTTCAGAGCTCCAACATAGAAGACAACGTGTGCAATCCAACAACACATAATGAACAGCCACAACGAAGGCACGGTCACACCACGCCACACCACGCCGCACCACACCACGCCGCACCACGCCGCACCACACCACATGAAAAGCCATCGCAAAGCCAACCAAGACACGTGAGTGATGTTCATCGCGAATCAACGTACAGGAGGGCGTCACCGAGGAGAAAGTCGAGGGAGAGGTCCGTTGCCTGAACAGCGAGGGCGTCCAGCTGCGCCGCGTCATCGAGCGCCACCACGTCCGTCTTCGACTTGCGTTGGGCGGCAATGCCCTTGGCCGGAATGCTCACCTCAATGCAGTCGCCAACAACGCCAGCCAGGCGGAAGATGAAGTCAAAGTATTCCGTGTTGAACATCTCGCGCTGGTGGCCCCACACAATGTTGTCGTGCATCACATTCAGCCGCTGCGACACAGACGGCGTGCAGTCAATCTGTGTAAACGGCTGCTCCTCCTCCTCTTCATTCCCCTCTTCTTCGCCCTGCTTCCCTTCCTCCATGGCGTCCCCGCTGCCCTTGGCCCGTGCTGCTGCTCCCTCCTCCTTCGCCGCCGGTGACGGCTTTGGCAGTGCCAGCTCCAGTGGGCCAACGTTGACGCGCTCGTAGAAGAGCATGTACGCGTTCCACCAGCGGTCGCGCACCCGGGGGACGGTGCGACCGAGCTGCTTGTCATACACCTGGGAGGTGGTCTCGCCGCCAAACCACTGCGTCGCCATGGACTGCACCCCGCTGAACTCAACATCCGTCACCTGCCAGGCAAGCAGGCACGCAAACACAGGAGGAAAGGAGGAGACACAGAAGAAGGTTAAGGAAGGAGCACATTGGAAGAGGGGACTTGTTGTTTTGTTTTGTTTTGTTTTTTGTTTTTTTGTTTTTGTTTTTTGTTTTTTTGTGGGGGGGGGGGGTGTTGGTTTAAGGAACATGGATGCTTATGTGTCATGGCAAGCGTCAAGGAAACACAGTCGAGTTCGTTCGCTGCGTACCTCGTGGTCCTCAAACAGGAGCCACCTGTCCGACATGTTGCCAGCGTGGTCGCGCTGGCACACGTACGACGTGTAGTGGCCGCCATTCGCCTGGCCGCTGTGCACAACAACGCCCGCAAGCCGATACATCTCCTTGGGAACCTGTTGGGGAAGCATGAAAGAAGAAGCAAGGACCAACACAGACACACTGCGTCACAACAACAGGAAGAGAGAGACAGAGAGACAGAGAGAGGGGGGAGGGAGGGAGGGAGGAAGAGAGAGACAGAGAGAGCGGGGAGGGAGGGAGGAAGAGAAAGACAGAGAGAAATAGAGACTGACAGACTGACAGACTGACAGATACGCACAGAAACGCACAGAAACACACAGAAACACGCACGCATTCACATCGGGCACACAGAGACCGATGAGAAACGGCACCTCGCCAGCGTCGTCCTCGACGGCAGCGCGGCCAGCAGCCGTGTACGGGCCCATGTCAAGCTCATCCGGGAACTCAAAGTAGTCGTTGAACTTCACAGGCACGCCCCGCTCCCAGTCATAATCAAAGCTGTGACGCAAACGCATGCATGAGCGCACACAAAAGCACAAGTGCAACAACCCACGGGTGTACGTTTGCCCAAGTCAATACCAAGGTCAATTCCAAAGTCAAAGACACGCAAGCAAAATACTCAGGCGCAAAGCAGCTTCAAAGTCTCTCCCACACGCTCGGGAAGCAAGCCTCAAGCATGCAAGAAGAGTGAGTACACACCGCTTCAGCTGGAGAACGAGAACGCGAGGCAGCGTCTTGATGCACGTTCGCTTGATCGTGTCGCGCTTCGCATCGCACTTCTCGCACTGTTGAAAACACATTCAGACAACACAACGATGAGACAAGGACAAGCGACAAGGAAAAACACCCAGGACGCAGCAGCTCACGCAAGCATTGACCGCTGAGCAGGCCCTTGTGGCTTGTCCCTTCTCGTTCACAAGCACTCAATTCATTTGCCACCTGCACCTTCATTTGCCATCTCTACCTTCCCTCGCGTGCTTTACCTTGTATGCGTTTGCGCCCTCGAGCAGCTCGCCCTGAACGTAGTTGTCCAGGGCTTGTGTAAGCGTCTTACAGTTGCGGATGGCAATCGGGATGGTTGTAAACGGCTCGTCGCGCTCATACCGGTGTGAACATCCGCTCTGCCAGCCATTATAACAAGTGGAAGGGTGAGTTAGCGCAATATTGTGTGCTAGGAGGCTCAGCCCGCAACGCAGCGTGTATGAATGTGAATGTGTAGGAGGGAAAAACATGTGTGCACAGATCAAACCTTGATGATTTTCTGGTCAACAAACATGCCGCCAAAGACTTGGCAGAGCGCTGCCGGCTTCTTCAGAGACTTGAGCCCTTCGTCCACCTGGCCAGCACCATCGAGCACACTGTGTCATAAGTTGACAAGTGCTGACACAACGAGTGACAAGAACACACTTAGGTACACATGCACACACACACACGCACGCACGCACACTTGCGCACACATGCACACACACGCACGCCACAGCACCTGATCAATGAGGCAGTTGAAGAACTCGCATGCATCCTGCTGCTCTCGCACATCCACGGGGGCGCCCCAGTGCTTGTACGTGCGCCACAGGCCCTGCATCCACAACAGAAGAATGCGTGTGAGCAAGGGGACTCGTCAATGACAAGCAGATTGGGGCATCGGCAAAACAGAGAAGAGCGAAAACAGCAACGAGGAACGGCAACACGCAAGTGCAGCACACACGACCTTTGGCGTGTAGTACTGGCGAGCGCTGTACTTGAGGTGGGCAAACATGCGGGTCACGTGGTGCAGCACGCTGTCCTCCTGCTTTTCGGCAGGGATGTTCAGTTGTCCCAGCAACAGCTGCTGCGTGTCAGGCTGCAACCAACACATATGAGTGGGAGTGGGTGTTGGAGGATAGTTTGTGTGAGCGTAAACATTGGCATGCGTGCATGTATGCATGTGTGTGTCTGCGAAGCAGGGCTGTTGTTGAAATGCAAGCGCAAGCGTCTCCATCAACGCAGCCCGCACACACGCACCTGCATGAAGAGCTGCTGCAGCACAGAGTTCATGTAGCATGTCGCTGCAGCGTTCTTCAGCCCAACAAACGCGCCAGGGGTGCGTGGCTTGATTACAGGCTGGAACCCGAATTCGGTCTTCAGCCTGAACCCACAACGTCAAGACACAAAACCGTCAGCGAATATGCAATGGGTTTGTCTCTTTATGTGCGTGTGTGTGTGTGTGTCTGTGTCTGTGTCTGTGTCTGTGTGTGTGTGTGTGTGTGTGTGTGTCTTGAGTGTGTATGTGCGTGTGTGCGTGCGTGCGTGTTTGGCGAGCAGTTGCTTATGTCTGTGGTTGGGTATGTAACAAACGTACATGTATTCTGGGACGTAGTGGAGCTCCTTGAGGTCTGATGCGATGAGGTTGAAGAGCGTCACGTCTCGCGACACGAGGCTGATGAGGACATTGAAAGCCTCCTCCCGCGGCTTCTCCGAGTCGCACGCAAACTCAGGAACAGCCAGATCCTGCACGTGTTTTGAGTTTTTTTTTGGGGGGGGGGGCAGTTGACGCCGGCCACGGCAATCGTGAGACTAATCAACGCCCATCGAGCAATCATACACCAAAACCAACAACGCGCACGCATACACGCACGCATACACACACAAGCACACACGCACACACGCGAACAAAATCGCGTTCACACACACACACATGAAGTCAAACAAGACAACTCGGATGACTCACGGATGGCAGTTCTGGCAGGGCGCGCAGGTCGGCCAGGTAGCGGCCGCAGCGGAAGAGGAGGTGGTTCAGCATCCCGCACACAAACCCTTCGTGCTGCATGACAACGGCACAGCCATGAGCAATCAGTTCCGAGCAGAATCAAACAGCACATCGGCACACACACACACACACACACACACACACACACACACACACACACACACACACACACACACACACACACACAAACAAACACACACACACAAACAAACACACACACACACACGCTTTGGCCAAGAGAGGAAACAGCACAGTGTGGAGACGCACCAGCTGCGGGGGAACGGTGGAGAGACGGGAGAGGATAGCGTCGATGAGCTTGAGGCGACCCGCAAGCACATCCTGCCGCGCTGCTGCATCAGAGGGATCCGCACAAAACGCCTGGCAACACAGCATTGGCAGCAGTGAGGCGGTGACAGTGCTGGTTTGCTACGACCACACGGTGGCAGCACACGGACAACAACAGCAACTGCAACTGCCAGCAAGCACATCTCACAGCAAACACAACCCCTCTTTCTGCTCCCCAGACCACACAAGCACAACAGCAACAGCAGCAGCAGCAGCCACAGCAACGAACCTCGAGCCAGGTGACCTGCTTTGAGGCAAGGGAGAGCAGCTCTGCTTCCGGTATGTCCACGTCGGGCAGAAGCACGAGGCAGCTGAACAGCTGGAAAAAGTGGTCGCACTCGCACGTGCCTTGAAGGTCCTGGCAATCATCCAACAGCATGGACGCCGTGTGCCAGAGCGGGCCCTGCGCTGCAGGCAGGTCCTTGACGGCATCACAAAGCAGGCGCACGCAAACACTGCGCACGTGTGCATACGGGCACCGCAGCGTGAGCAGGCGCAGCATGTCTGGGGTGGACCACGCCGCAACCAGCGACGCGCAGATGGGGCTGCTCAGGTTGCTGATGCGTTTGAATAAATACACAAGGTCCATGGCCACAGGCAGGTTGTCGGCAGCGGTGTCCTTGTTAATGCGCGCGCCAAATTCTGTCGGGTCGCACACCGCACGAAACACGGTGAGGAGCGCATCCAACAGCGCCTGCTGCTGCTGCGCGGACAGGGCTTGGTCCAGTGGGCTCGACTCGGACGAAGGCGAGCGTGACGATGCCGACGCGGGCGTGGGCGGTGAACGCGAGGAGGTTGGCGAGGACGCCCCAGACTGCTGCTGGGCGTGGCGCTGGCCCTTGGCAACGCCGGAACTTGTGGAACCCGACGAAGATGACGCGCCAGAGGGTGCTGACACCACGGCCGTTGCTGCTGTTCCAGCTGCGTCGGTGCTGGTGCTGCTTGCCGTGGCCGTGGTCGTGGCTGTGGCGGAGTCGGAGGAGCGCTTGCCCTCACCGGCGTGCTTCTTCAGCGGCGACTCCACGTCGGCGCTCTGTGCAACGGCCTGCGCCTGCGCCTTTGACTGCTCTGACGGCACGCGCTGTGGGGTTGACGGCCCGGCGGCCTCGCTGGCCTTTGCTGCCTTGGCCGGCGACAGCGGCGGCGTGCACGTGTCGTCCACGCCAGAGGCCTTGTTTTTGTTCTTGCCAGCGCTGGTGGTAGAGCCTGCAGTGTTGGCCTGGTCGTCGCCGGCCTCCTTGGCAATGGCGAGCGAGCGGTCAACCAGCTCGTGCACAACAACGAGCAGCGCCTGCAAGGCGCGCATCGCCGTGGAGTAGCGGAACGGGTTGGTCTCCTCGCCAAGCGGGGATGTCAGGGCCTGCAGCAGACGAAGCACGTCGTCGACGCCGAAGCACGACCAGAACAGCGCCTTGAAGCTTTGGATCGCGGCCTTGGGAAACGTGTCTGGGCGCGAGGGCCGCAGCACGCTGCACAGCACAAACAGGCGGTACTGCAGCAGCGGCAGCGTGGCGTCCTCAAACAGCGGCGAGATACTCTGCTGCTGGTCAACCACCGTAGCAAACACGGTGCGCTGGAGATCGAGGTCACCAGGCAGGTGCAGCAGCACGCGCATCGCCGCGTCCTGCACGGCGGGCGGCACGTCCTCCAACAGGAACCGGCGCAGCATGTCGTGGTGCTGCTTGGAATGCGACAGCGCCCTGCTCGGCAGCTTCTCCTCCTTGCGGGCGTTTGGCTGCGGGCACATGTCGAGGCACTTTGAGTCTGCAACCGTCTCCACCTCGATAATGGCGCCGTGGTAGAGGCCGACCATGGCCAGCGTGGAGTGGTCGTCGCGCGCAGAGAGCACGCGGTCCTGGAAGGAGAGCTGCAACCGGTCGCCAGACATCTTCGCAAACCGACACACGCGCATGCGCAGCAGGGCAACGGAGGACGTGGACGTCAGCTCCACGGACAGTGACCACCCTTCTTGACTCACAGCGTGGACCTGTTGTTGTAAATGGAAAGCACCAAAACGGTTGACGTACATGCAGTGAGTAGGTGTGTGTGTGTGTGCGTGCGTGTGTGTGTGTGTGTGTGCGTGTGTTTGCGTGCGAGTGTGTGCGTGTGTGTGTGTGTGTGTGTGTGTGTGTGTGTGTGTGTGTGTGTGTGTGTGTGTGTGTGTGTGCGTGCGCGTATGTGTGTGCGTGTGTGCGTGTGTGCGTGTGTGCGTGTGTGCGTGCGTGTGTCTGTGTGTGTGTGTGTGCGGCAAAGGTGCAGCACAAGCACCACACGCGAGGAGAGGGAACATGTTGCTGAAGAGATGATTGTGCACCTTGCAGGGAAGCCCGAGGTGCGCCATGATAATGGGGGGATGAACGCGCGGGAAGTCATGCATCACGTCAAAGTGGGTGAGGAACCGCCGAAGAATGTCGAGGCCGCGAACGGCCTTTCGCTCCACCAAATCAGGGCGGCCATTGGTGTCCTGCGTGAAATCCAATGGCACGACGAACATGACCCATGGCAATCGTGTCGACAGTACTCGGTGATGAGAAGACGGTGGTTACATTCACACGTGTACACATGAAAGCACGAGCAGAACCGCAAACTTGCACGTATATATTCACGCACAAACACACAAACGCAAACTGCAAAACATTTCAGCACACAACAACGCACAAACACACAAACCCAAAGTGCAAAACATTTCAGCACACAACAACGCAAGCACACACACGCACACATAGACACACGCACGCACCTCTATGAGTGTGCGGTTGACTTTGTCGAGGCAGCTGTTGACGATGCCGAGCGGGTCCTGGTTGGTGAGGCCCGTGAAGATCTGGATGAGGTTCCTGATGACAAGCGCCGCCACCGTCTCCTCAGCATGGCTGCAGGCAAGCTCCCACAAGCAGTCCAGCTGCCAGATGTTTGAGGGATCGTAGACGTGCACATGCCCGGAGCTGTTGCGCTCAAGCACGTGCTCCTCTGTGTTGATGTTGAAGAAGATGCCGAGCACGCACTTGATGGCAGTGATGGGCATGGTCTCCAGGTCCATGTGCAGCAGGTGGTTCTCCAACAGGAACCGCTGCGCGTCAGCATCCAGGTCCGGGTCTGGCACGAGCACGCGCGAGAACCAGCGCAGGCCCGCCGTCCTGTCCTTGGCCGTGGGTGCGCCCTCGACAAGCATCAGCCACAGGCGCACCGCATCGTCCAGCGCCATGTACGACTCCCGCTCCGCCACAATAAAGTGGAGCAGCTTGTGCAGCTGCTGCATGGTGGCGCGGTGCGTGCTCATCTCAAAGACAACCGTGTTGTCGAGCGCCTTCTCGTCGCCGCCAAGCGCCTCCAGCCGCTGCTTGGCCTTTTCCTGGTACGCCTCACACAGGTCCAGCACGGCGTCCTGCAGGCCCTGCCGCAGCAGCCTGTTGAGCACAACGTCGCGCGGGGACGCGTGCTTCGAGTCCGAGTGGCGGGAGAAGAGGTCGAGCAGGGCCTCCATCATGCGCATGGCCGGCACAACCCACCGCTGCTCCTTCAGCTCGCGCAGGCACGCGTCCAGCCACTTGTTGACGTCCGCGCCAGAGGCGTCGTGGAAGAAGCGCCCCTGCAGGATCTTCACCATCGACGCCACGGCCTCGTCGGCAATCTCGTGCGAGGTGTCCGGGTTGTGGGCCAGCGACCACACCACCTCCATCACCTTGTGCGCCATCTCGCCAGCCGCGTCCTCCTCCGCCAGCCGCTGGATGAGGCGCAGCAGACGCATCATGTTCTGGTCGCTGCCGCCCCAACTGGCCTGCACCAGGCTGAACAGGTGGTCGAGCTGCTCCGGCCCAAAGTGGTACGCCAGGTGGGCGAGCAGGTCGTGAATATTGTCCACAATCACGCCGTGCTTGCCTTCCTGCGCCTTCCAAATCAGCTCCAGGTCCTGCAGGGTCAGGCGGGTCGTGGCGGTGAAGCGCACAATCTCCTGCACGCGGTTGACGTACGACGTCTTGTGCAGGTTGTCACTGAAGAGCAGTTCCAGCAGCTTCTTCTCCGCCATCCAGTCCGTCAGCTCGCCCGCCGTCACAGCAGTAAACTGGAACCGCGCGTCCCTGTGTTGACAGTTGCCGTGTGGGGTATGAACACATGTGTGTGTGTGTGTGTGTGTGTGTGTGTGTGTGTGTGTGTGGTTGTGTGTTTGTGTGTGGTGTTGTGTGTGGGTGTGGGTGTGTGGGTGTGGGTGTTTGTGTGTGTGTGTTTGTGTGTGTGTGGTGTTGTGTGGGTGTGAGTGTGGGTGTGTGTAGGTGGGTGGGTTGCGAGGGCCGGAGCGAAGCCTTCTTGCTCTTCCCCGCAACTCAGGCAAACAAACCCACGACGTCACCGTTCAGCTGCAACTCACGGCTTGCTCTGGGCGTTGATTCGGTGGATCAATCCTTTCAGCTCGTCCAGTGCATACATGGTTGCGTTGAACGATTGCACGCGTAGCATCTGTTGTTGCGCGTGCATGTGCATATGCATGTGGATAGGTGAGGTGTGTGTGTGATGCTGCGAGCGGTTGTGTGCCCTGAGGGTCGAACAGGCTGGGAGGCAAGCTTCCATCAAAGCCAACAAAGCAGAGTTAACACACACACGCACTCACATACACACACACACAAGCATACGCACGCGGATGCACATCGCAGCGATACAGGCACAGCGACACAGGCACAGCGACACAGGCACAGCGAAACCGGTGCGGACACACAAGGACGCGAGCAGGAAGAGGCCAGTGCACCACCTTGTCGATGACAGCGAGGTGGAGGTTGTCGAGGACTCGGTTGACTTCAATGTCTTGACGAGCAGCCAGCACCAGCTGCGCAGGAACAGATGCAGAGATAAAAAGCATCGAGCGAACGAGATGAGACAATGCAAGAGAAGAGGGAGAGGAGAGGGGGGGTAACGAGCAACAGCAAACAACAGCAACAGTGAAACGGTGAAACGGTGAAACGGTGAAAAAGAAAGGGAGAGACACAGACAGACAGACGCACGCACACATACACACATTCTCTCTCACACACACAGATATGTAGTGTGTCACCTTTGCGTTGCGGATGGCGCTGAGAATGCCGTTGTCCTTGACGAGCTCCGGCACAAGCGGGCGCAGCTCCTTCAGCGTTGCGTTGAGCACCCGGTCGTACATCTTGTCAAACATCGGATACACAAACTGCGTATTGCACACGTACGTATGGGTGTGCAGGCAAAGGGCAAAGGACAAATAGGGCGAGGTGAGGGAGGAGAAACGGAAACGCACAAAGTCAAAAGCGCTCGCCGGACCTTCACGTGCAAGTACACACAACACACTGCACAACGCCACGGTGCCAATGAACAACACAAGCAAACAAGCAAACAAGCAAACACGAACCTGTTCCCGACACATGTCGCTTGGGAGATGGCCGCTGAAGAAAGTGCAGCTGGCGGCCAAGACCACCTGCACCAGGCTGGATTCTGGATTCTGTTGTGGTTGGTGGTGGTGGTGGTGGTGGTGGTGGTGGTGTGTGTGTGTGTGTGTGTGTGTGTGTGTGTGTGTGTGTGTGTGTGTGTGTGTGTGTGTGTGTGTGTGCGCGCGCGCGTCGATGTGTACGTGAGTGGCTGTCGACAAAAGGAAGAGACGGTCAAGGACCAACGTCTGGGATGGGGTTCAACGAGGAAAACCACATGCATGCAAGCCAAGTGACGTACAGTGACAATCTGCAGAGCACGCTTGAAGCCGCCCTTGACGCCAAATGCGTCGCAAATGTCAATGAGAAAGCCATACTGCGAATCCGTCTCCGTGTCCACGCTGAACAGCGCGTACACCTCATCCGGCCCTGCCACAACCAAGCGTGCACCAGATGTGTGCGTGTGTGAATGGAGATATCAACGAGACAGTTGGTGAAAGAGTTTAGAGGAGCGGGAATCATCCCAGTCCAATCCACCAAACGTTGTCGACAAGACCAATGCAGAGCAGCGCCAGCATCATCAGTGCATTCGGTGGTGAAAGAGAACTGACACCACCCTCACACTCACACGCTGGACAAAGAAAGACAGTTTGGCGCGCTCTGTACCGTTCAGGGGCGCGGACATGGACTTTTCACACCAGACTTGCTGGTGGTACAGCGTGCGATAGTTCATCATCTGTTGTGACAATAAATATCAAGCCAGCAAGCACGAGTACATCAGTGCACTGCCGTCTTGGGAAGATGTGTCGTGCACTCTCACTCCAGAGGAGCAGCTTTCCAACCAACACGTTTGCACAAGCCATGCAACACACACAATACAACATGCAACGCACACGCAACACGCATACCTGCGCTGTGACGCGGATGTACTGTGTGTCGTCGCTGTCCATGCGGGGAATGAGTGCGTCCAAGGAATTGATCAACAGCTGGCGAATGTCCACCTGACACCAGCAGCACGACCGACGTGGGATAAACGAGGATGGCGCGTGTGAGCAATCACACAACAGTGTTTCACATCGGCAGCGGCAGGCGTGTCTCCGGCACGTACACACGGCACGCGCACACACATATACACACACACGACACACACAGAACGCACGTGTGTGTGTGTGTGTGTGTGTGTGTGTGTGTGTGTGCGTGTGTGCGTGTGTGTGTGCGTGTGTGTGTGTGTCTGGGAAACAAAACTGACCAGGTAATCTGGGGACCACTTGAGAAGCTGCTCGCTGTTGAGGCAGGTCAAGATGCACGGCAGCAGGACATCCTTCAGAAACGTCTCGCAGCTGTCGTCACACTCGCCTGCGCACAGCCATGACAATGCGGGTGTGTGTGGGGGGTGGGGTGTGTGTGTGGGGTGTGTGTGTGGGTGTGTGTGTGTGTGTGTGTGTGTGTGTGTGGTTGTGTGTGTGAGTGTGTTAGTTGCGTGGTTGTGGCTGAGTGGCGCGGCAGGTCTTGTTGGATGAGTGAGGAAGCACGAAATGGAGGACTATGGTCAAGGGAAGCAGCGGAACAGTGGGACGACCCATGAGCAGCACCTCGCTCTTGGGCTTGCAGCAGCGAATTGAGCAGACCCATCAGCTGGCTCTGCTCGTCGATTGCCATGCGCACTCCGAGGCGGAGCTGTGTTTTGAGCTCGTTGATGCGGTCCATCGGCAGGGTTGTTGCGGGAGCCTGCGATAGCATAACCAAACCGCACCAACAACAGAAAGAAATGAGAAGAAACAGGGCGTGTGTGGGAAGGGGGTGAAATCGCGCGTGATGTGACTGAGCAGAGAGCAAGCAAGCAGCCTTGAGGGGGAGAGGAAACAATGCGTGGGGATGAGCAACAAGAAGTGAGGCATGTGATGCAGAGAAACTAAGGCAGCCATAACCAAACGTCACTGCATGAACCGACCTCAGGCTGCTGCTGTTGCTGCGACTGCTCTTGTTGCTGATCTTGCTGTTGCTGTTGTTCTTGCCCACCTTCTTCCTGCCCATGCTTGGGCTGGGGCGGATCGACATCCATGTCTGACATGGCTGTCGATGTTGTATGCAAGCGTATGTGCTATGTGTGAGGTGTGTGCGCGAGCGTGTGCGCTATGTGTGATGTGTGATGTGTGTCTCGTTGTGTCCGCACGTCCGTGTGCGCTTTGGCTATCAAAGCACAGGCTCCACAGTCTAATCGTGTGGACTGGCAAGAGAGCCATAAAGACCGCAAGGTGAGAAGGGCGGGGGATAGCAGTGATGTGCGTTACATTGTGCCAGTCGACATGAAAGCAAGGAGGAGGGGCAAAGCATGGACACACACACACACGCAGGCACACGCATACACACACGCACATACGCACGCACATACGCACGCATACGCCCACACAACCCACAACACACACAGCACACGCACCACGCACACACAATGTACACAACCTACAACTCACACGCACACACAACACAAGCACAGCTGTGACATTGTCCGCTGTATGCAAGCATTGCAGTGACTTCAAACTTACCACCTTCAAATACAAACAGATCAAACGCACTTGCGCCTGTTGGATGCGCGGCAAGCAATCGGGGAAAGAACTGCGTGTGTGTGGTGCGAGCGCGTGTGCACTGTCTGTCAGCTGCCACGACCACCCGATGTGCGTGCGTGCACACAGTGCCCTCTTATTCTCCCCCACCTTCGCGCCACACTCCTTTTTGCACCTGCTGCTGTGTCTTCTTCTTCTTCTTCTCCACTCACTTCTTGTGCTTGTGTGTCGGCACAAAAACGTTGATGCACACAGAACCAACCTTTGTTGTCTTGCTTGCTGCTGCGCGCTGGCTGGCTGGCGCCCTTCCTGGCTGCGGGGGCAGAAAAAAAACAGTCAGCGGTGGATTGTGCGCTAATGCGTTTATCCCAGTGCACCTTTGTGCGAAACATACACCAGCCGGCCGGTCGATCTGTTATGATGTCGCTTTTCATCGTGTCGGATACGAAGTGTGTGTGTGTGTGTGTGTGTGTCGTGTGTGTGTGTGTCGTGTGTGTGTGTGTGTGTGTGTGTGTGTGTGTGTGTCTGTGTGTGTGTGTGTATGTGTCTGTGTCTGTGTCTGTGTCTGTGTGTCTGTGTGTGTGTGTGTGTGTGTGTGTGTGCATCCTCACTCACGTGTCATTCTTACTCACTCACGTGTCATTCTCACTCACTCACGTGTCATCATGCGCATCATTCTCACACGCTCGCATCATTGATTTAGAGACTGACGCCGAAGCTACAACCACCCACCTGCGCACATCGCAAGCACGTTCAACCGCCGTGCAACGTGGAAATGAACACAAATGCATCGCCCTCACACAGCTCGTACTCAGGCCCATCCTGTGGAAGCAACAAAACAGGAGGCAAAGATGACGCGTGAGCTGCAGGGTGGCGGTCATGTCATGTAAATGTGCAATCAACGCAGTGCTGCACTTCACACATCGCTGCTCGCGGCGCTTGCTGGTGCGCACGTTCGTTAGGCTGCGCATCCATCACAGGCACACACAGGCGTACATTCACACAGGTGTACATTCACACAGGTGTACATTCACACAGGCGTGCATTTACACAGGAGTGTATTCGCACTCCACAAGCACGCACACACACAACACCCACTCACACATGCACAATTAGGGCGGACGTACCATGAGTTCCCAGTCAGTTCCGTTGATCAACACGAGAATCCCAGGTCGCCTGTTGGAGCACGGTTGAGCAGGTGTGGTGAAGAGCAAGTGAGAATGCAACACGCAGTTGTGGACAAGGCGGTCAAAATCACAAAGGGTGGCGAAGAAAAAGCATCCTCGCTCGCACGCAACGCCAGTGCACATGTGCATGGATGTATGGAGAAGAGGCCTCACACACACACACACACACACACACACACACACACGAGTGCAAGTGCACACAACAACATGCACACACACACGAGTGCAAGTGCACACAACAACATACAAACACATACACTCACTCACACACACACACAAGCATACACACGCGCGCACACCCGCCACGCAACTTACACAGTATCTCCTTGCACAAAGAGCTCTGGCCTCTCATCAATGAGGTTGTCCTTAATCCATGCAAGCAGGTCTTTCACAGTCCCTACACGTTTGGTGGTGGTGGTGCCAAACAGACGACAAAAGCGTGTATGATGTGTAATGGATTGAACAAAGTGAGACAAACACGAGTGGAAGAACAACTCCAGCCCTCCAAACAGCCAGCACGCTCCGCTGCACACATGCCAGCACGTATCAGCACGCACGTATCAGCACGCACGTACACATACACAAGCACACAAGCACACACACACGCACACACGCACACACACGCACACACGCACACATACACACGCACTTACACTTTGAGCCGTCTTCCTTGTCTGGCAATGTGACGTCATGGTTCTTCTGACCATCCACCAGCAGCTCAGCACCGCCACTGTACACACGTACAGTACAGTGAGCAATAGAGAGAGTGACTCGGCCATGGAGACAGCAGGGGCAAGAGTAAACACACACGCACGCGCACGCACACACGCACACAGATGCATGACCCACGCACCTGAACTCGAGCGACACCTTCATCTTGCTTGTGGTAGTTGATGACTCAGCGAAAATCCACAAAGCAGCGCGCCACAACCAAGACAACCACAGCAACCAACAACCACACACACTCACACGCTTCTCCATCTCGTTGCATCGCAGTGGCTGTTGCGGACAGACGGCCGCCCACCATGTCGGACATTGACTATGAGAAGGCGCTGTTGAACATCTTTGCCAAGATTGAGGCAGTGGCTAGGTCAAAGGACTACAAGCGATGCGAAAAGCTCGTCAACAGCCTCATCGACCTGAGGTCAGCTTGTGTGTGAGTGTGTGTGGGTGCGTGTGGGTGTGTGTGTATGTGTGTCTGTGTCTGCATGTGTGTGTGCTTCTGTGTCTGTATGTATGTGTGTCTGCGTCTGTGTGTGAGTGTGTATGTCTGCGTCTGTGTGTGTGAGTGTCTATGTCTGCGTCTGTGTGGAGTGGTTGTTGTTGGCGTTAGCAGCTGAGCCATTCTTCTCTGCCTTCACAAGGTTACACACGCATGTACACGCATGTGCACGCATGTACGCCATCGCTCTGCTTGTAGAGTTCCGACGCCATACGTATGGAAGCATGAACGAGTGTTGACCGGCTTGTCAGCCATCAAGAAGAGCAAAGGTGCGAACTGGAACTTCGTCTGCGCTTTCAGCGAAAGGGAACCGCAAGCCCTTGACAATTCCCTGCACCATACTTGGTTTGCATACAACTAGCAGCGCCGCTCCCTCTCACCCGGGCACATACGTCACCCTTTTTCATTTGTGCCCCATGACTCCACCTCGTTTACCAGATACGCCCAAGCCGCTGAAGAAAACCATCTCCAGGCTAGTCAAGCAGTGGATCAACGATGGGGAGAAGGTGGACGCAGACACAGCGGAGCGCGTCATGCACACAAGCCGGCCCCTCTCCAGCGCAGAACTCCAAACACAAGCAGAGCTCCGCTTTGGGGCCGCCCCACCCAAGCCCAAGAAGCCCGTCTTTGGCCAACTCGGCAGGGTACTGTGTGCATGTATGCTGTGTGTTTGTGAGTGTGTGTGTGTGTGTGTGTGTGTGTGTGTGTGTGTGCGTGTGGGTGGGTGGTGGTGTTGTGTAAGTTGGTGGGTGGGTGTGTGTTGTGAATGCTGATAGCTGTATCTGCCTGCGTGGTTTGATTCATCTGTGTTCCTGTTGCATTTGTGTTTCACCATCACAGGCACCAACCGTCTCGCTCAGCAGCGATGGCGCCAGCAAGGCGAGCACGCCGACCAAGACATACCATGCGCTCGTAAGTCACACACACACACACACATGTACACACATTTGTCCACACCATCCGCATGCTCCCACGTGCACCCGCATGATTAACGCTCACCTTCTCCCCCCCTCCGTCTTCCTTTTGGCGATCCAGGATGCGAGCGCAATCAGCAGAAAGCGGCGTGGGCGGTTCTTCAAGCCAGGCTTTGTCAGTGGCTCCGGCGCTGCTGCGACCCAGCCCAAACCGCGCAGCAGCTTGCCTGTTCTCAAGCTCTTCTCCTCCCTCACCCTGCAGAACATCTGCCTCACATGGCTTGTTAAGTGCGTTTGCATCGCCTGTTGGGGGTTGGTGCCGGGGGTCGGTCTGTCTGTCTGTCTGTGTGTGTGTCTGTGTGTCTGTGTGTCTGTGTGTCTGTGTGTCTGTGTGTGTGTGTGTGTGCGTGTGTGTCTGTGCGTGTGTCTGTGTGTCTGTGTGTGTGTGTGCGTGTGTGTGTCTGTGTATGTCTGTGTGTGTGTGTCTGTCTGTCTATCTATCTGTCTGTGTGCGTGCGGGCATGTGCGTCTGTATCGCCTCTGTGCCTGTGACTGGTTATCTGATGCCCTCTTGCGGATCTCCCACTCCTCTGCCTTCCCTCCTCTCTGCCCGTCTCCCCTCACTGATTGCTGTAACCGCCTGCGTCGCCCTCATCACCACGCACCTCTCACTCACCACCATCCCTGCTGCATCACCACCAGGCACGCATCGCACCTCGAGAGCTTTGGCGATGTCCCATATCACATTGTGGCGCCCGCGCTGCCCTTCTTCAACGGCCGTGACTTGCTGCGAATTGAGGAAAGCCACCCCGAATACACACAACACACCGCCAGTCTTTGGAAAAAGGTGGGTTGCCATGCTGGTTCAGTTGTCTGCTGTGGGGCTTATGGGGATTATGGGGATTGTGGGGTGAGTGTTGTTTGCTGAGCATCACCGCATATGATTCAGCTTGCGTAGCATGGAAACCCCTCGCTCACATATCTATGTGCGTGTGTATGTGTGTGTGTCTGTGTGTGCCTGTGTGTATGTGTGTGTCTGTGTCTGTGTGTCTGTGTGTCTTTGTGTGCGTGTGTGATGGCTCATGTCTCTGGTGAAGATTTACCAGAAGGAGTGCAAGCCCGGCGCATCCACTTCACCGCCAGCACATGAGACCTCTTGGAAGGACGAATGGATCAAGTTGTGAGTGTGAATATGCTGGCATGTAGAGACGAGAGGTGTTTGAGATGGATCAGCTATTCTGGTGTAGTTGGTGGTGACTGGGCCTGTTGTAACGCATGTGCATACGCCACACACACACACACACACACATCTTCAATCACACATTCGCAAACACATACACACGCACAAACACAATTTTTTGCGCGCACATGTCCACTCACATGCACATGTGTGCAACTGCAGCCATGATGAGAAGGAAGCGCGGACGAAAGCAATGAAGGACGCCGTGCACAACGCAGCGACACGGTTAGCGTGTGCCCTCTCATTCTGCAAGCCTGCGTTTTCATGTCACATGACACCTGGTGTTGGGTTGAGGTTTCGTGCGTGCAAAATGTTGATGTAGTTGTGTCTTGGTGTTTGTTCATTCCATCTGCACAGGGTTGAGCAAGCGAAGAAGGCCACAAAGGAATTGAGCCCGTCGCAACATCGCGGTGCGCCAGCCACTCTCAATTTCTTCTTCTTGTTCTTACTGTTATTCTTCTTGCTGCTGCTCTTTTTGTTCTTCTTGCTGCTGTTCTTGTTGTTCTTGTCCTTTTTGTCGTGTACGTGCTTTTGTTGATGGCTTCGCTGCCCTTGTTCGCTTATCTCATGTCCACACACACACACACGCGCGCGCGCAACATCCCCGCCATGCATATGCACACACACACGCACGCACACGATGGCAACAGCCATTCGTGCCACCGCAACGAAACCCAAGCGCGCGCCAACCGATTCCTCGTCTTCCATCCTCAAGTGCGCCCCTTACTCGTGTGCTATTTCATGTCCCATTGTTTGCAACACGCGCACATCAACTTATGTTCGCTCTCTCGCACACACACACACACATACACACACACACACAGGAAGCTCAAGATGCAGGTTCGCAAGACGGCCCCTGGCGGAGCGCCGCCAACACGAAAGGTCGCGCACAACGTGCAGATGCTGTTCGAGGAGTGTGTGGGGTGGGGAGGGATGTGTGCCATGGCACTGGTGTCTTGTTCGTCATTGTTGCCGGTTGACGTAACTATTGCTGTTGTCGCCCATGTGTGTGCGTGTATGTGTTTCGGAGCTCACGTCCACGACACCGCCACAACTCGAACGTTCTGAAACGCAATCCAGGGGCGAGGGATGATACGCGCGTCCCACAATCGACTGCACATGAAGGCCCGGCTGGCCTCGCAAAACGCTGCAGCCGCCACAACATCGGCACAAACTTCGCACTCGTCCCAGTCAACCCAGCACCGGCAGCGCCCCACTGGCGCAAGTCCGCAGCCACGACTCCAACCCATGTTCAGGCCATCGAAGATAGTCCCCACCTCCGCACCGACACCGAGACGAGGCCCACCGAGACAAGCACCGCTCACAACGGCCTCCCACACCAAGCGGCCAGCAACAGCGCCATCAGCTGCTTCTTCGTCACTATCATCAGCGTCATCAGCACGATCGGCGAAACGGCCTTCGTCCACGTCCGCCACGCCGCAGCCGCGTAAGGCTTCAAAGGTGTTCCTCCAGCCACCGCGCCACCGCCAGCCGTGCCCCCGCTAATTGTGTCTGTGCGTGTGTGGGGAGGGTGTGTGTGTGTCTGTGTGTGTGTGTGTGTGTGTGTCTGTCTGTCTGTCTGTCTGTGTCTGTGTCTGTGTCTGTGTGCGTGTGTCTATCTGTCTGTGCCTGTGCGTGTGTGTGTGTGTCTGTCTGTCTGTCTGTCAATCTATGTGTGTCTATGCGTTAGGCACGGCACGTTGATGGCCGTGGATACGTGCTCTGACATGGATGAATTGTTTATGCTGAAGCTGCAAGAAGATGTCTTCGTGCAGTGTTGGACACAGAGCCGGGACTAACAAAAGTGATTTGACTAATAAACGAGACACAACAGCGAGCAAAAGTGACGTGAAGTGTGGGGGCGGCACGCATGGGCGAGCCGCACTCCTCAATCAACAAACAAACACACGTGTAATGTGAAATGATATGCGACCACGACAGATTCCTCCTGTGGTTGTGACAAACAGGGTGTGATGATTACTTGGCCTCCTTGAGGTATGACACCATCAACGCGCGCACGCCGGCAGTGGAGTCCAGTGTTGATTGCGTCATGTCCTTTTCCAACTGCAGCTTGAGGTCCGCACGCTTCAGCATCACTTCCTCCACGCTGTCCTTGCTGATGAGCCGAATCACATGCACGGGCTTTGTTTGCCCAACGCGATGACACCTGCACCCACGCCACACAACGTGAGACCACAAAACATGCGGGGTGTATGTTTCGTGTGTGTGTGTCTCGTGTGTGCATGTGTGTGTGTGAAAGAGGGTTGAGGTTGACGCATTTCAGGTTGCGTGATGTGCACATAAGACCACGCGACACACACACACACACACACCTGTCCTCGGCCTGCTTGTCGTTGTATGGGTTAAAGTCGATATCGTGCAGAATCACGACATTCGCAGCCGTGAGGTTGATCCCAAGACCGCCAGCCTGAAACACATCACCAACGCAACTCATGCGTGAGTGCTCGTGGGTGGAGAAGAAAGAAGGCAGACGCAGGGTAGACATGATGGAGGGCCAGTCGTGGCATGCATCGCTCACAAGGCCGGACAAGCTGTGGTACACTACACAGCCACCCACACGCGAATACCTTTGTTGAGAGGAGGAAGCAGAAGATGGATTTGTCGTTGGTGAACTTGTCAATCAAGTCCTGACGCTCCTCAACGGGTGTGCTCCCTGGAAGGCCAGCGACAAACCGTGGTTAACAGTGGAGGTGAAGCGTGAGAATGGTGTGAAAACGAAAGCATGCGTGTAATGAGGCTGTGTGAGGTACGGGAAAAAAGTTGCGTCAATCGCAAGCATGAATGCAACTCAGCGACCACGTGCGCACCGTCAATGCGAAGGAAGGAGATGCCGAGAGAAGTGAGAAACCTCTCGAGGATGTTCAGCATGGTCGTAAACTGGCTGAATAGCAACACCCGGTCACCCTGCAACGCGCATGACGTCACGAAGGAGGAAGCAGATGCGTGACTTGATGATATTCACGCAGCGGCGTGTGTGTGGCAGTGCGCGCAAACAGATAAACAGGGGATACACAATGGCTTCGGTGACACAGCCACGCCGAACGTACACGTGCACGCAACACATGCCGAAACACACCTCGAAGCACACATAACACAAATACACACCTGTTCGCTGCGTTTGTGTAGGAGGTCCTTGAGCACAGCAAACTTCCCGCTCTGCATCATGTCATCCTCATCGAGCTTGAACGGGTGGAGCGGCGGGCTGGTGCAGCACAGGTTGTGCAGCTCGAAATCCGTCATGACTGCAAGTAAGTCAGCAGGAAGGGAGGGACAGATGTTGTCGAGTGTTGAGAAATTCATCCCAGAAACAAGTGTGTGTGTGTGTGTGTGTGTGTGTGTGTGTGTGACGGGCTGGCAGGTGGCGTCGACGGTAGACGGGTACTGGTCATGAACGCGAGTCCACACCTTCCATATCCTCGAACACGATGTTGGGGTCACAGTCCCTGTACTTTGGATCCTTGAGGATCAGCGACGACATGTTGCGCAGCTTGTCGTTGTCGTAGCGGCTGTTGTGTGTGTGTGTGTGTGTGTGTGTGTGTGTGTGTGTGTGTGTGTGTGTGTGTGAGCTTCGAGTGGGATGCTGGCTCAAGCGCTGCAGACATATGCACAGGTTCTTGTTGATGCGTACCAGCGGTGGAGCAATGGATGGTTTGCCATCTTGCGCAGCTGCATGAAGCAGTTGTTCAGCAACGAAGCGCCTGCGCTCATGCACACACGCACATATACGTGCACACACGCACATCGTGGTTGTGTTGTGAGCAAACTCAAAGGCGCTTCACCCTCAAAACCCTCCCGCTAGCACTGCCTCCTGCTCCCCCTCCTTCCTTCCTCCTCATCCTCCTCTCCTCAAGGCACGAGCCACAGCACGTACTGTCTTGTCCGTCGTCGTCGCCGGGAAGGAGGTCGTCATCCTCAGACCGCTCAGCGCGTCGCTTGAACGCGTCCATGAGCGATTTGTACTCCTTGTGCTGGAATGGTGTCATCTCGCACTCAATCACCTCTGTCTTCTTCTCCGGCAGCTGTTTCAGCACCTGTGCGCAACAACGGACACGCAGCAAACCGGGCAATGTGTGACGGTCAGATGAGCAGGTGGCGCCACTACCAACGAGTCGTAAGAGAAACAAACGAAGCAACTCACACACGCACGCACACGCACACATGCACGCGCATGTGTGTGAGGCAACCAAGTTACAACCACCCGCTTGGCAGTGATGGCGTCGTGTTGCTGTACCTGATCCTTCACACGCCGCAGGACAAACGGCATCATGATCCGCTTTGCTTTGCTGATGAGCGACGTGGAGAAGGATTCCTGCTCGTCAACTTTCCTGCGAGTGGAAGGGAAAGAAGGGTGGTGTCAGAGGCAGCTCCACAACATGCAACCGCACAAGCAAGACGCAGCGCAACGCTCACAACAGGACAACAACCACACACGTGCATGCTGTGCTCGACTGACTTCTTGAACATGCGCGCTAGGACGTCAATGTTCTCGGAGAAGATTTGCGGCATGATGAAACCAAGGAGGGAGATAAGCTCCAACAGGTTGTTCTGCAGCGGTGTGCCCGTCAGCAGAATGCGCCGCTTGCCCCGTACCTGAGAATGAGGAGGCAGGAGGTTCATGTAAGACCCACGCGCGGGTCCAAGAACACACCAAACGAGAAGGTGTTCAAGAATGCAAGACAAACAAGAGCATGGGTGTTTGTTTGCCTTCTCGGGCACAAGTGTCCCACATTCATGGACACATATGTATGTGTCCATTGCCACACAATACAATGGAAGAACGTGTACACAACTGAGCATGCAGACACGCACGAGCTGTGCATCGTGCAGGCGGTACCTTCATGAGATGCGTGTAACGCTGGCTCTTCATATTCTTGAGCATGTGTCCCTCGTCGAAGATGACCGACTCAAACTTGAATCGCCGCAGAAACGCGCGATCGTCAGAGCTGGAGATGCACACAGAGTACCTGGTGATGGTGGTGACGGTGGTGGTGGTGGTGGTGGTGGTGCGGGTGGGGGTGTGGGGTGTTGTGTGAATGTGTGTGCGTGAATGTGTGTGTGTGCGTGAATGTGTGTGTGTGTGCGTGAATGTGTGTGTGCGTGAATGTGTGTGTGTGCGTGAATGAGTCAATTGTAGCGAGAGCGGGCATGTGGGACACAATTGTGACAGCAAGAGCAGCAACAAAAAGGGGGCGCGTACGTTGTAAGCATGATATCGTATTCAACGCGACGCTTGATGACGGCCTTGCGCAGCAGCCGGCGCTCGTGCTGTGATCCTGTGTGCACACGTCATGCACAATAAGCACATGTGATGGTGAGCGCAATGGTACGGAACGTGCTGATTTGGGCGGGGCAGGGGTTCGTTGTGAAGCTGCGAAAATGTTTGTGTGTGTGTGTGTGTGCGTGTGTGTGTGTGTGTGTGTGTGTGTGTGTGTGTGTGTGTGTGTGTGTGTGTGTGTGTGAGACTACTTACGTT